TTCCTGAGGGAGGTACTGAGTGATCTGCTGTCTGTACCTGCCAACACCATCCCGTGCCAACATCTCCTGCTCCTGAACAGCAGAGCTTCACTGGAGGAGTTCTCTGAGTCCTGCCTTGTCCTCAGATGACTCCCTGTGCTCTTCCTTCACCATCTCCCTCTGATGGGCTGTGCTCCACAGGGTCAGGTTGCAGCACTGTATTAGGGAAAAACCCTTGAACGGCTTAGGGAAAGGCACAAGAATTTAAAGGAATACAAACTTCCCAGCCGAGCTGGCTAGATCTATTTATTCCAGGCTTTGGTAGCTTATGAGGCATTTGTTAGAAGGTGGCAAAAGGTCACTCTAAAGGAAGAAAGACAGAAGTGGAAAAAACCTTCAGTGTTGGGCACCTACTGGTGGGCAAGCTTCAGAGGAAAAAAAACTCCTGGAAAAATGGACCAGAAGCAGCTTCYACCCCAAAGTGCTCTGCCCAGCAGTACCACCCCAATCTTGGAATCATGGAACRGTTTGGGTTGGAAGGGACCTGGAAGCTCGTTCCAATGCCAGCCTGTGACAGCTCCAAAATGAGCAAAAATGGTTTCTCTACCCAATGTGTACCTGGGGACTCAGTGCCACGGGACACTGGAGGTGCTGGCAGCTGACAGACTGCAGAAATCACAGAGTGATCCACTGACATCTATTAAATTCCAACTCTCTTAGGCAGAAAGTTCTGGTGCTCCAAAGGAAGGCAGAACCTCAGTGGGTGAGGGAAGTGCAGCACTCAGAGCTGATCCCATGATCCAGGGGTAGAGGGATGCTCCATTCTGCTGCCAGGATTTTAAACTCCTCACTGCTGAGGGGTCTTGGCTCGGGTCAGGGCAAGGCAAAGGATCCYCCAAGCTGGGGACATGCCTAAAAAGGCATTATATCCCCATGTGAGCTTCATGAGCCCAGCTCAGGGCCCTGCATCATCTGGAGGACAAGGGGAAAACACCCAAATCCTTGGGCCAGGACACCTCCCWGGGCCCCCTGACTGCCACCTCCTTTGTCCCACAGCAAAATGCTTGGGCAATCAGRCTGTTCAGGGAGCACTTGGACAATGTTCTCAGGCACATGGTGGGATTCTTGGGGCTGTCCTGTGRAGGGCCAGGGGTTGGACTTTGATGATCCTTGTGRGTCCCTCCCAACTCAGGATATTCCATGATTTTGTGATTCTGTGAAAGTGCTTGGCTCAGTGAGACACGACATGTGCCTGGGAGCTGGAGGAAGCAGGTCTCCTACTGCCACCAGATCTTCCCCAGCACACTCACTGCACCAGAAAGTCTGGCCTGGTTCACACAGCCCAAGGCCACATAGAATATTGCAGAACATTTAATTTTTGCTATTTTGTGGCAACAAAGCAGCCCTGTCACACGGGACCTCTGAGGGACACTGCTGGTGCAACTGCAGCACTAAAAACTGTGACTGCAGCACTTTCAGCYGAGGGACCAAAGCCACTTTTGACACCAGCCTGGCACTGGAACCCCATCCCTGCAGGTATCCCCAGTGAAAGCTGTCACTGGGCAGCCTGCCCTCCAGGTGAAGCCAGCAGCTCTACCTGCTTTCAATAGCAATGGGAAAAAAGGCCATTAAAGGAAGGAAGTGCTGCTGCCGTGCCCATCCTGCAGCAGAGCCAGCTCTGTCACACTGCTCACAGTGCTTCACCCAGGGGATGTCAGGGAAAACACCGTGTTCCTGGCCTGGCTTTGGTCAGGGACATGCCATATCCAGCCTTTATCTGGGGGCAGGTCTGGGCACCACAAAGTGAGAAAGATCAGAAGCTGTTCTCAAAGGAGGGACACAGGGATGGGGAATGGCCCAGAGGGGCCACATCAGGAGCAGCTGGGGGCACTTGGCCTGTCCAGCTGGAACAGAGGACACTGTGGTCAGACTTCCCCAGGGGCTGCAGCTCCTCCTGAGGGGCAAGTCCAGTCTCTGCTCCCTGGGACCAGGGACAGGAYCCAGGGAACAGCTGGAACTGTGTCAGGGGGATTTAGGCTGGATATCAGGAAAAATATAAGGGTGGTCGGGCACTGAACAAGTTYCCCAAAGAATGGCTACAGCCCCAAGGCTGCCRGAGCTCCAGGAGCATTTGGACAGCRCTCTCAGGGATGCACAGGGTGGGATTGTTGGGGTGTCTGTGCAGGGACAGGGGTTGGATTGCATGGTCTTTGTGGATCCCTTCTTGGTTCTGATCTCAGCAAGGGCTGCTGTTTGTAGATTGCTGTAGAGTTGATCTCTGTGCCCAAGCCTCACACAAGTGTCAGCACCAGCCCAGCTGGTGGTACCATGATGCTGGTGCAGGGAGGTGCTTTGCTGGGGGTTTTTATGCATCTAAAATCTTCCAGTGTCATGAGTGACTTCTTGAACCCTCAGCTTGAGGGAATAACAGCAAACAGGGACAGAGGGAACCTCAATCAAGACATGATCTGGAAAAGCAAATTGTTGGCCAGAGGAAGGCCAGGGAGGACAAAGGGGGCAGTTTCAGTCTTGCCACTTCTAGTTGGCTGTGCAGAGGCACAGGGTGACACTGGGCAGCACTGAGCTCTCTCTTTCCAGGCAAGCTCAGATATTGCAGGTGTCCACAGGAGGCCACAGAGATGTTCTGAGGGCTGGAGCCCCTCTGTTCTGGAGACAGACTGGGAGAACTGGGGGTGTTCACCTGGAAAAGGCTCAGGGGAGACCTTCCAGTGCCTCAAGAGGCTCCAGGAGAGCTGGAGAGGGACTGGGGATAAGGGATGGAGGGACAGGACATGGGGAATGGCTTCCCACTGCCAGAGGATAGGGTTAGATKGGATATTGAGAAGGAATTCCTCCCTATGAGGGTGGTGAGGCCCTGGCACAGGGTGCCTGCCCAGAGAAGCTGTGGCTGCCCCATCCCTGGAAGTGTCCAAGGCCAGGTTGGACGGGGCTTGGAGCAGTCTGGGATAGGGGAGGCTGTCCCTGACCATGGCAGGGGGTGGGAATGAGATGAGYTTTAAGGTCCCTTCCCACCCAAAGTGTTCCATGATTACAAAATTCTATTAAACCTCATTCCTGAAGTTTCGATTCACTTCTTGGAACCATAAGTACCACAGCTCTGCTCCAGACAGAAGTGAGACAGAAATATTGCAGATGTTGGTGTGCTGAGGATAGAACAGAAAGCAAGAGGCCAGGCTCTGTGGGCAGAAGAGCCACCAGCTGCCTGGGGACCTGCAAGAAGGGGACTGGGGAGCCAGGCAGCCCCTCCACCACATCAAAGTGCCAGCCAGAGCAGGGCAGTGAAGCCCAGCTGGAATGGGACAAACTTTATCCCAGCACTGGAGGAAGAAGTGATTGGCTTGATGTTTTAGTCAGCCTTTGTGTTGACAAAGCAAACAACATGTTGGCTGTATCCACAGCCCTCCCGAGGCTGGCAGCACCGGCCAGATGGTTTGCTGGGGTTTCTAAGGTACCACCGAAACAAGCAGCTCACTGCCAGGCCCTTCCTCCCGCTGTCTGGGTTAAAAAATGCTTGAGTTGTGTCCACAGACAGGCAATGGAGCACGAGTCTGATGAGGAGTGGCTGAGGGAGCTGCGGGGGCTCAGTCTGAAGAAAAGACTCAGGGGGGACCTTCTCTACAACTCCCTGACAGGAGGGTGCAGCCAGGTGGGGGTCGGGCTCTGCCCCTAGGGAACAAGCGACAGGACAGGGAGAAATGGCCTCAAACCAGCACTAGAGGAGGTTTATGCTGGATAATAGGGAAAATTTCTTCACCCAAAAGGGCTGTCAAGCACTGGCACAGGCTGCCCAGGAAGGTGGTGGAGTCCTCATCCCTGTGGGGTTTAAAAAGATGTGTGCACTTCAGGAYATGGATTAGTGGTGGACTTGGGAGAGCTGGGGGAATGGTTGAACTTGATGGTCTGAAGGGTGTTTTCCAACCTAAATGATTCYGTAATTCTGTAATTTTATTTAAATGTGAACTGTGGGCAGGTCTGAATCAAGATCCTTGTGCTGTGACCCTGCAACAGCCTGCAGAGACCCTGCCAGAGAGTGGGGACTCTCAGGGTGTCCTGGCACCCAGGGGCATTCCTGGACAGAAAACAATGGGACTCTGAGTGTGTTCTGGACAATCATCTCTTTCTGTGCCTGTATCTACCCAGAGTGGCTCCACAGAGGCCATGGGGACAATGCTGAGGGCTTTGCTGAACTGAAGGTTCTCCCCTCATCCYCACAGCCAGTTTTCTGGCCATTCTGGGTAGTCGGGTTCATCAGGTGTGATGTGCCCTTTGTAAATCCCTGATGGCTGTTCCTGTCTCATCCTTCGGCTGTTTGCTGGGAGGATTTGCTCCAKCACCTTCCCAGGGTCAGAGGTGACACKGAGCAGGCTGTAGTTCACCTGCTCAAAGCTGGGTGTGMGATTTGTCTTCTCCCACTCACCAGGAACCTCCTAATTGCTACAACATTACAAAGAGATCAGAGAGGAGCCAGTGAACCATCTGTCTCCCTCAGCATCCTCAAGTGCTTCCCACTTGCTCCAATGAGCTTGTGTATGTGTTCCCTGATCCACATCCTCCAGGATGGCAGTACCTGACCACTGCTTAGAACAAGGAAATCTTGAGGGCCTCACTGGCCACCAAGAGCCTGGCTGCAGGAAGGGCCTCACGGGCCACCAAGAGCCTGGCTGCAGGAAGGGCCTCACGGGCCACCAAGAGCCTGGCTGCAGGAAGGGCTTCAGTGGCCACCAAGGGCCTGGCTGCAGGAAGGGCCTCACGGGCCACCAAGAGCTGGCCCTGCTGTGTAGCCAACACCCCTGGGCACTGCTTCCTGAGCTGGCATTTCCTGGAAGTGTGTGGGGTGGGGGGATCCAGGGTACTGTGAGTCACCCACCCTCTGCTAGATGGAATTTGAGTCTGTTTTGCCCCTGGCAACCTGCTGAGCTGAATCAATGCAATCTTGGAAATCTGATGCCCTTGAAAGATTAAATCTCAATAAATTCTGGTTTCCTTCCTGGTTTCAGTTCCACTCAGACTATGTCCTGACAAATTTGGGGCTTTCCAGGAGGTGTAAATTCGTGGATAACAAAACCTGGCACATCCACCAGTGCCTGGAATTCCTGCAGGCTCATACAGACCTCATGGATGCCCTGTGTGGGAAAGCTCAGRCACTCCACAGGTTGTCTGCTGACAGAGCTCCTTTCATTTTCACTTTTCTGGCTTCTGGGAACTGTGCAGCTCCACCCGTGGCTGCAGAAGCGTGTCCATCGCAGAGGCTCCGGGTGTGTGTTTGCAGTAGCCTCCGGAAGCAGCCCCAGCTGCCCAGGCGGGARCGCAGAGCCCGGGACGCGCAGCGCAGGAAAGCCGGGGCTGGCGGCTGGAAACTGCTCCGGTGAGTGCGGCCAGAGCAGTGACCGCCCAGGGCTGCGGGGAGGGGCGGGCTGGCATCCATTTGGGAGCGGGGTGACCGGCCGGGTTCTGTCTTCCGAGCCCATCTGGGCACAGGGGACAGCCCCAAGGCGGGAAGCGCAGGGGAGCGCAGGGGAGCCTCCCCAAAGGGTTGCGTGTTTCGGGGTGCCCGGTGATGGATGCACGCGTGTCCCCCTGATTTGCTCTCCGCCGCTCCCACAGCGCTGCCGCGGGCGCTGGGGACGCGCTGTGTGACCCCGCTGTGTGCCGCAGATGTCGCGGGCGCCGAGGCCCCGCTGTGCCCCGCTGATCCCGCAGCCCCGCGGCGGGCGGGCGCAGCGCGCCGTGTACCTGCTGCTGGCGCTCTGTGCCGGGGCTCTGCTCCTCGCCCGGCAGCCCCTGGTCCCCACCGCCCGCAGCCTCACCGGACACTTCGCCACCCTCCAGATCGGGGCGCTGCTCAAGGGCGCCTGCTACCTGGCCGAGGAGATCTTCCACCTCCACTCCAGGTGAGCCAGCRGGGTCCTACAGGGCTCTGTAGTGCTCTGGCAGCTTGGTGGCACTATCAGCCCTGGCCAGTGCCCGTGGGCACCAGCCTTACTCCTGTCTCCCTGTCCCACCCAGGCACCACGGCAGCTTCTGGAGGGCCCTGAGCACCTGCTTCCCCCCACACTGGCACGGGCCCATGCTGCTCGTCTGTGGCTCAGCCTATGTGGCTCTCCTCGGTGATGGGCAGCTGCTYGGCCTCCACCTCATCCTGGCCAGTCTGTGCCAGCTCCTCATCCTCGCCCTGGGGCTCCAGGTAAGGCTCCCACAGCTCCAGCCTGGGCGGCTGCCCTGGGAGCCCTTCGGCCCTGAGCAGCCATGGGGGTATGTAGCCAGCTCTGCATGGCCTCTGCACATCCAGCCCACCCAGAGTCAGCCTGGCAGGAGGAGCACTCTCAGCTCAGCCCAGCAGAGCTCATCTCCCTGGCCCCATGCTGCCAGGAGTGTTGGCAGGAGGGCCAGGCTGCCTTCTAATGAGCACAACCACTCCAGGGGATGGCACAGCCCCCCTGACATGAAAAACGGGTATTTTTAATCTGTCAATCAAGCTGGTGCTTGAGGGGAAAGCAGAGCCTGTGTGTTCTCAATTATCAGYGTGGTGTGGGGGCAGAGCCAAGCCCCAGGTGCCTCTGCAGCATTGGGAGGGCTCTGCTGTGCCCCTGCAGCACTGGAAGGGTCACACAGACTGCAGAAGGTGCTTCTGTCAGGTGCCTGTGGAACTGGACACCCATCACCTCCTAAACACACATGCAGAGCTGGCAGAGGCCACTGGGAATCCCATCAGCAGGCACTGGGATGTCTCCTCTGCCATGCTGGAGGCACAGGGCAGATGTACAAGTGGCACTGGGACACATGATGTCACAGGATGGCAGTACCTCACCACTGCTTGGAACAAGGAACTGGAAGTCTTGAGAGCCTCACTGGCCACCCAGAGCCTGSCTGCAGGAAGCCCCTGCTGTGTTGCCAGCACCCAGGGGCACTGCTTCCCTGTGCAGCCAGGGAAATTCTCAGCTCCCTCCTCTGTGGGGGCTGTCATGGGCTCTGCCCTGCTGCCCTGTGTGGTGGTGGAAGGAGGAGGTGGGATTGCTCACTCTCCACATGTCTTTGGAGTTTTCCAATCCCTGTGGAGAACTGACTGTTGAGGAAGGATCCAGGTGGCTGCTGTCATCACCTGGTCTGTCTGTCCTTCCCTCCACAGAAGCCCTCAGCAGTGGAGATGTCTGAGATGTCCGAGAGGTCCAAGCAGAACGTCGCTCATGGGCTTGCCTGGTCCTATTACATTGGGTACCTAAAAATAGTCCTGCCACGTACGTAGCTGTTTCCCTGYATTCTCATGCCTACAGATAGAAATAGCTCCTAATAACAATCCTCCCACTTTTACAGTGTTAGCAGGGAAATGGGGAGCAAGGCAGAATGCAGCTGTACTCACATCAGGCACCTCTGCCCAATGCTSTCTTCCACCAGGGATGAAACAGTCCATGGAGGAATTCTGCAGAGCCCATCCCAACCTGCTGGYATGCAGGAAGACCTGGAAGCTCCACATCTTGGTCCCTCTGAGCTGTGATATCTATGATGACCTGGAGAAAGCTGACAGCAATATCCAGTATGTGACAGACCTCACTGAAACCACCCTGGCCCGAGCTGGCACCAAAAAGAGGGTCTACAAACACAGCCTCTAYGCAATCAGGGATGAAGAAAACCAGGTATACTGAGAGCAGCATTAGGAGCATCATCCCAAAGGTCTTGCTGGCCCCAGAAGTGGCCATAAGGACAGGAGGCTGTCCCCTCTTATCAGATGCTCCCAGCTTTCACCAGGTTTTTACAAAATGGAAAGGTCCTGTTCCTGCACCCCTTCCTGCTGGCTGCCTCCTCCCAGGCTCAGCTGCAGGCATGGTGGGCCCTCCTGGAGCTGATTTAAGTCCAGAAAACAGTAGAAAACTGAGCAGAAAAAAGCAGATGTGAGCTACAGAGCATCACTTCCCATAGGATGAATGAGTGTTTCCTTGTGTTGGGAAGAGATGCGTGAAGAGGTCTRTGTGAGTCAGAGATTATTTGACTCTCCCCTATTCCCCCAGTCATCTCTTTTGCAGGCTGGTGAGCCCTAAATCTCTCCATCTCACATTGCATTCATCTCCTCCCACATCTCCCAGCAGACTGGCCCCTGCCCCTTTCCCTTGGAGGGAAACATCCTGGTGCTGGCCGAGGCTGTGGATGGAGGCGTTGGCAGAGCTTTGCTCCTCACCTGGGTTCCCTGATCTGCCCTTTGGCAGTGGCTGAGCTCTCAGCTGCTGTTTTTAATGCCCCAACTGCAGGGACCCCGAGCCTCTCGTGGCCTCTCTGCTCTGGGGGAAGTGCGGTTGGCCGTGGGTTTTTCCCACTACACTGCACGCACTGATGCTGTGTTCCATCTGCCAGGCTCCTGCTGAGTCACTCTGCTCCCTGGGAGCTCCTGCAGCTCTGAGCCTGGACCTGGMTTTCCAGTAATATCTGCCCCTCAGCTTGCTGCCCAGTCCCTCACAGCGACACAGTTACTGCCAGTACCTGCTCCAGGGCATGGCAGTAACTGCCTGCCAAGGCTGGGAACTTCCTGCTACTCTGCATTTACCTGGGGATCACATCCCTCTTCCTTCTAATTCACTCCATTAAACTTTCCAGTTTACCCAGTGTAAGATTTACGGGTAACCCTGCTCCTCCTGGAATGTTTATGGCCTTATCAGATTTCTCCTSGTTTGTTTGATCAGCCTCCTACCAGCTGTGTATCCACCACTCAAATGTTTCTGCTCTCAAATGTTTCTCACCACTCAAATGTTTCTCTGCCCTCCAGCTCTGTTAGGATCCTCAGAGTTAGAAGAATGGAATCACAGAATATTCTGGGTTGGAAGGGACCCACAAGGACCATCCAGTCCAACCCCTATCCCTGCACAGAGACCCCAACAATCCCACCCTGTACATCCCTGAGAGTGCTGTCCAAATGCTCCTGGAGCTCTGGCAGCCTTGGGGCTGTGCCCATTCCCTGGGGAGCCTGTTCAGTGCCCCACCACCCTCTGGGGACAGAAGAACCTTTTCCTGATATCCAGCCTAACCCTCCCTGACACAGCTCCAGCCATTCCCTCAGGTCCTGTCCCTAGTCACATWGATTGGAGCTGTCCCTCCACTTTGTATAGCAGAACAACAAGAGGGTGTGATCACAGGGAAGGGATGTCTTCCTRGGGGACCAAATTTCATGGAGAAAATCACCCTCCAGGCTGCTCTTGGGAGCACTGACAAAGGCAGTGGCTGCACYCCTTGGGCAGAGAYWGATCCCTGAGCCCACCTGGCACAGRGCACACCTGGAYSTCTCAGGCCAGCTGCTRTGGCATGGGGACATGGGGCCAGATCCAGTGTCCCTTTCCCAGTGTTCCAGCACACAGCACCAGTGTAAGGCAGCTCAAGGAGCCACTGAGAGGTCCTGAGGGYTCTGCCCAGTGTCAGGGTCTCCCAGGAGCCCTTTGCCCAGTCCTGTCCCCATGTCCTTTCCTTCCGTSCTTGCAGCTCTGGCACTGTGCTGTGGAATATGCCACCCCACTGCAGTCCCTGTACGCCATGTCCCAGGATGAGTGTGCTGCCTTCAGCCGGGAGGAGCGCCTGGAGCAGACCAAGCTTTTCTACAGGACCCTGGAGGAGATCCTGAAAGGCTCCAAGGAGTGTGCAGATGCTTACCGGCTCATTGCCTACGAGGGTGAGTGAGGGGGAGGGGGCTGGGGTTCCCAGGACAGTGTCTGCTCTTCTAGCCCCGAGYGACCTCGGATCAGGGTCTGTGCAGAGCTCAGCTGATGTCCCCAGTCAGGGGGCCATGGTGCCCCTGCTGCCATGGGAGGAAGGGAGGGGCTGCCTTCCCACAGGAAATAGGAGTGTCACTGAGCATGGCATCACTGGCTGGGTGAGGCAGGGGATTGTCCTGCTCTGCTCTGGGCTGGAGCAGCCTCATCTCCAGTCCTGGGGCAGTTCTGGGCAC